TGCAACTATACTGGCTCAAATATTTTTTTAAAGATATACAGCAGTTCTAAGAAAGTTGTGTTTTGCAGATGGTTGTCTAGGACGGAGGTGATATTCAACCTGTTCTGGATAAGGCTGAATTCCCCACAATGAATCTGAACTATAATATGTAGTGCTAATTGATCCAAGTTTGTTGTGGGAAGTTAGGAACACACTGGACCTGTTGTTTTGGCTACATTTCCTGGAAAGAAATAATAATAATGAGCTGTATGTTGGTAAGCTCCGGATTTGATTTAACATAATATGCACAGGGCTGTCACTAAAATACAGCCACTAAGCTGCAAAAGGGAATTAGCTTCTGAAATCACATGCTGCCATCTTGAAAAGCTTCATTTCCTATTAGTTTAGTTTCTGTGCACAATTCAGAGGCTTTTGTTAAAAGCCAAAAGGATGTTTTGGATTGTTTGTTCTATATTAAGATCTTTGTTCATGTTTCTTTTCCAAGGACCCCAAATTTCTAGCTAATGTGATAGTTCTGGAGGGATGGGATTGCTAAATATGTCCCAACTTGGTCAGTGAGGTAAACAAACATGCTATGGGGACTCTTTTAAAAAAATCATTATAAAGATATTTGAGAGGCTTTTGTTTCTTTATCACAAATGGTGAAATAAAGCAACATGCTATTCATTTAATACATTTAACATGTACTTTACCCATCTCTATTAGGCTTGCAAATCCAGGAAAAGGGACTATTGTTCGCTGGAATTTTCCAAGATTTGGAGCACTAGAAGACCAGTGTCTAGCGCCATCTGCCAGGGACTTTAGGCTAAAATATGGAGAAGAAAAAAAAAGTATAAATGCAGGAGTTTGCTTGCTTCCTTCTGTCCATTTTTATTACTTGACACTCTATAGATTAAACATTAAAATTATCTGATGTTCTTAGATTATACATTAAAAATAAGGAAATTCACTTCAGTTACCTATTTAAACACATGAGATTATCATCAGCATCAGTTCTTAGAGCAATCCACAGTTATGAGAACAAACACTTAGTAAAATTGAACAATAAAATAATACAAAGCCATAGACACAACCTCAACATAATTTGTCAATAAAAACCCAATTTAATATTTATTTATTTCAGTCAACCAGCATTGATGCTGCTGCTGCTGCTGCTGCTGCTGCTAACTATTCAAGATTTTGGAATGCCTAAACAAATTAAAACATCTACTTGGGACAAAAAAGAGTGGCACTAGGCTATAAGTGAGGAAGAAATGTTGCTATACATTTGTAGATGTAGAAAGAATAGGATAAAGTGAACAGGCTTAAATTATGGAACATTTTGTGTGAAAGTTAAATTTAAGGTTAGTTGTTGAATGCAATAAGAGTAGTATAAGATGAAAATAAAACATGCGTGAGAATAAATGGAATGCTTAATCAGTACATCTCAGTACTGAGAGGGGAATAAAACAAGGACATGTGATATCCCTCTGATTATTTAACATATTTATGGATTAATGGATAAACGAATAAGGAAAATTCATGTTAATGCTAGAGATGTGTTGGTTGGGACATACATGTGCATGTACTTTTTTATGAAAATGAAGTCATGTTGTTGGCTGAGAATCTGAATGATTTGTAGCCAAAGATTATATGATGCAATGAAGAGCATGGATCTGAAAATTAATATATCAAAAATCAATACAGCTTTGTTGACAGGGAAAATGGACTTAAATGCTTATTTATTGAATTAATAATTTGCCTTTTCACTAAAGAAGTGCACTTAAGGTCACTAGCAAGATTTTAAAAATAAAATAGTTAAAAAGACAATTTAAAATATTTTGAAGGCACCATTACAATGCAAATTAACAGTTAGCACCTATCTAACTGAACAGCCAAATCAGCTTATATGTCAAGTAACTGGCATTCCACAGCACAGGTAGTCCTCGACTTACGACCATTCGTTCAGTGACCATATGAAGTTACAACAGCATTGAATAAGGGGACTTATCACCCATGCCCAAAATTATGGCTACTGCAGTGCCCCCATGGTTACATGATCAAACTTCGGGTGCTTGGCAGCCTGCCTGCACTTATGATCGCAGGGGTGCTGCAACTCCCCCCACCTGCCCATCTCCCCCTCATCTATGCCCTATTGGCCACCTGCTGCCCTGCGCTCCGCTGCCCCAGCTGCCCTTCGCCGTCTTCTTGCTCTCACTGCTGACAAGGCATGCCTGGCCTGGCTGCTGGGCGATATGGGACTGGCTTCGTGCAGCGGAAAAAAAAATGCACAAAGCACCTTAAAGCATGTCATAGCTCCCCTTTGCACCATTCTCCTGGGCTGTACGGGGCTGGCTTTGCGCTGCGAAAAAGGGGGGGGGAGCTAAAAGCAGCCTTTCCCCCCTTTTTTTGCAGCACAAAGCCAGTCCCAGCCCTGCTCTGGAACTCTTTGCAAATTTCCCTATCTCAAGAATAAT